GGGCTTACTCCGCCATGCACCATGCTAAGCTTGCGGCAAGGGCTTTGGCTAGCCATGCTAGCCTACCTAGCCCTCGATTAGCTAGTCCATTTCGAGGCTAGGATTTTTCCGCGCAATGACTTGTCGTTTGGTTGATTTTTCCGTCTCGTCGATCCCTAAATTCGACTCGACTTACAACGCTCGGCTTCGACGCTCTAAGCTCAGAATCCGACGTCTTTGTTCGTAAAAACTCTATTGACTCATTTAATCCTTTGGATTAATTCGTCGCTTCGGTTCGATTACACGATTGGGTGTGACCCGGAGGGTTCATTCAAGATTAAGCTGTAATATTAATTATTCATTAATATTACTAATCAGAAGCGGCCTCTAGCTAGGCATTCCAATCACTTGACCTCACTGAATAATTAGCTTTCTAATTAATTTCGAACCCTGTATCAAAATAATACACTTGTTCGAAGGACACCATTCCTTTCAGAATCTAAGTCAGTCCTCCCGGTCAAACTTCCTGTCAGGTTTTGGTTTCAGTTCGTCTAACATATTATCTTTATCTCTTTATTCATATATATGTATTTAGAGTTATTATTTGAGATCTTGTAATAGGAAAAAGGGCTTGAGTGTTTTGCATATTGAGGTGGAGAGATTGCAAAGTGTGAGCTTCAAGTGAGAAGCCGAGTGTGAGCACTTTGGGAGTGTTGTGTGAGTCTAAGTATATTACTTAGGGTGGGCAGGATAGGGTCCTATCAGGTAGCAAGTTTTCGATTAGGAACTTGTGAGTGTAGCAGGATTCCGGGTAGGAACCTGTGAGGTAGCAAGCGTACGGGTAGTAGCTTTTGAGGGTAGCAAGTGTCCGGGTAGGAGTTTGTGAGTGTAGCAAGTTTTCAGGTTGGAACTTGTGAGAATGGTCCGTGTGTAATAGGTTGTAACTAGGAGTGTTGCCCTATTATAGTGAAATGTTTGTGTTGAAAATGGCGGGTAGGGTCGAGGTTTTACTTCCAGTTGGGTCTTAGAAGATTTCCTCGTAAAATCTGTTTTGCATTGTTTAATTTCCTAACAATAACTGTTTTATATTCCGCGAAAATTAGACATTAGGAACATACAATTCAAACCCCCCCTTCTTGTAGTATATATACCATCCAAATAACACATTGCCTTTTTCAGGAAAATTTGTGTATGTTTGCTTTTAACGTTGATAGAAATTTTTGTGAAACAATTTATTCCTTGGAACAACTATTATATGACTACTTGAATTTTTGTTAATCCTTTTAAGCTATGCTATTGCCCAAAACATTACTTGGATTATTTGCATCTTTTTTTTTTTTTTTAAGAACTTAATGACTAATAAAGCAAGCAAGAAGTGAAAATTTAATAGTGAAAAGTGCACTACTTTTGTAGAATTTACGTAAAAATTATAGCCCTTGAAAAATTAGTATGAAAATTAGTTCTAGTAAGGATATTTTATACATTTTATGAAACTTTAAAGGTATTCGTGCACTTTGAAACATAAAACTAACAGAAACTTAAGGTGTTAGTGATAAGGGTTTTTAGTACATAATTATAATTTTTCAAAGATACACGGTTCATTTAAAACTTTGCTAGACTACACAGTGCGTTTTTTACAAAACTCAAGGGTACACAGAACAATTTACCATTTTTTTTTTTTTTTTGTCATTTTGTATAGTTTTAAGATGAGTTTTGGAATGCAGTAGTCTTTGTATAGATTATTATTAGAGTGTTGCTCGAGACTCCTCTCGAGACTAGGGATAAACTTACCCTAACTAAGTTATCCTCTTCAATAAACACCTTTGAAATATTATAGGTTTGCGCCAGAAAAAGACCATTACGAAGAGTCATAGCCACAATAAGCGGAATACTCATACCAATATTAAAATAGCGACTACAAACATTATTTCCCAAATGATCTTCTTAGCACAATGCCTAAAGTCCCTGAACCATCCAGAAAAGAACCACCAAAAATTATTTTAATAATTATGGACCAAAAAAAATGATGTGAAGTTGTGGACCCAAAAAAAAATAATGTTGACCAAAAAAACAAAAATGATGTGGAGTTGTGGACCAAAAAAATATGCAATCAATGTTGTTGTACTCGTATGTATTATCTCAAGGCAATTATTTTTGTAGGACATAACATTTTTTTTTTTTAAAATACGTTTAATGCCACATTTTATTAATCAATGGACAATTTGTCCATTAGAATATAAGGAGAAATTACAAAAGGTCAAAAATGCTCCCAAACTTGTTCAATTCCAAAAGGTAATAAACTAACAAGGTGATGAGCAACGGAATTCCCATCCCTTCTAACATAAGACCAAGAAATAAAATCAAAATTAGAACTAAGAAAAAGAATATCATCAAGAACTAAATCTAGATCCATAAGAAAAGTCGCAACCTTGGAAAGTCTTGTGATAGCAATCTAGCAGTCAGACTCCAAAATGACCCTCTTATAACCATAGCGATGAGCGAGCTTCACACCAAAGTGCAAGGCCTTACATTCAGCAATCTCAAGTGGCCATCAGCTACGGATACGGCGTACTCCTGCAAATAGTGAGCCGGCCCCCATTGATCTTCTTGATCAATATAGCAAACAACATGGCATAAATGTAAATATTGTGAACAGGAAATGTCCACAACTCCACATAGCCACTTACGTGAATGTGGGCAATTACTCAGCTGCTGACTCATCTAACTCCGTTATCAATGAGGCTTCACCGTCAAGTTGCAATAGTCAATGAGTTGTCTTGTTTAGAGCCACATATGATGTTCTTCTTTTATGAGTAAATTCAAAAATCCATACTTCTCATCCATGTTTTATGATGTTCATCTTTTATGGGAAATGAATTCGCAACGACGGATGAGTGTGATTGATTTTGGTATATGATCAATTGGATTGTTGGGTAAGTCGAATACAAACTATTAAATTCAATTGTTTTTTAGCATCATTGCACTGTGTTTTGTGTTTTTCATCGCATATATGGAGTATAATTTTATTTGTTTATTACGGATTATTGAAATGTATGGATTGTTGAAGTAGATGTTGGTGTGAAGTATTCGAATGAGTATATAATCAAGTGTGACAATACTCGTTCGATTAGTTGGACATTGATAGCATTTGTTTGTGTTTGTGTGTGTTAGAATTGTAAATCCTCTAAACTAGCCATGGAGAACTGTAATGATTCGCCCGTAGTTGGTGGGTGCATTGGTAGTGTTTTGCAAGATAAGGGGAGCGGTGTTAGGTGCAGAGAGGAGCCTTGTCTGGAAGATGATGCAAATCGGATTTGTGAAATCGGAGATGAAATTCAAGCCCTCACCATTACTGAATTTTGACCCATAATGGTATATTGGGCTTCACATACTTACAAATTGCAATATTGGGCTCTCCCGAATTAAACTACATTCTATACTTAGTTACCTAATATCAAATTATCAATTATTCTAATATAAGATTAATGATAACAACAACCGAATTTTCCGTTTTTTGACGGTCTAATTAATTTTTGTAATGAAATGCAATAACAATGACTAATGCCTAATAGGGTAATTTGGAATTAATTAATTACGTATCATTACAAAGTGTTATTATAAATAGTTGGTATTAAAACATATTATACCGAAGTTAAAACTAATTAGAACAAAGTAAATATCAATACATACTTTTTTTGAACATTCAATACATTAATTGTGAAAAATTATAAATATTCAATATTTACAAGGGGTAGTTGGATGACATACATAAATGAAAAAAAATAAAACAAAAAGCATTAAAATGGGTGCATTTATGGCACATGTACAAGCAAGTGAATTAACGGCAAAATTGTGCCGTAACGACCAATTTCACCATCATTCACGCGTCAAATGCATAAGTGGCAAAGAGGATGAGTCACACCATGGGATATTACCATATTTTTCCGATTTAATGATGGAAAAGTCTATTTTACCCCCTTTATTGACAAACTAAATTGATCGTGAAGATCAACATGTATTTTGCGGCAAATAGTACCTCCCCTTCGGCATTTCTGGCAGTAACACCAACGTGTAGGACATAACTTGTACTCCATATCATTTGCTCATCAGTAATTGTCTCCGTATCATCAAATCGAGATAATTACGAGTATCTTTGTGTAATCTTCGATTCAAATTCTTCCCTATGAAAGCTACTCCCTCCACTCTATATTATTTGATCATTTATGCGAAATATTTTCAAACATTAATATATCTTAAATATCAATACAGTAATGTTACTTTTCTAGATATTGAGTTTAAATAACAATACAATTCAATAATTCATCGACTAACATATGCTAAGCAGTCTTGTCCAAAAAAAAAAAATGCGAAGTAGTAAGCACGCACTTATTCATAAAACAAAGTAATAAGTAGAATCTGTAGAGGAAAATATTAACTTATCACTTGATAAAATCATCTCAATATTATCTTTTAGCATATCTATTGAATAAATTGTTAGGAAGTTTGTTACTTCGTACTTACTTACTGTAATCTTTTTTTTTTTTTTTTTTTTTTGGTGTTTCTGTAATCTTCTACTAATGTACATAATACTTTTTCCGTTTCACAATGATATTCTTACTTTGATCAAATTTATCTCACAAAAAGATTCTAAATGGGAACATCATTATTGTGGAACGGAGGGAGTATCTCTTAGCTAGGCAGTTATATTACTTATTGTTAGCTATTGTATATTTGTATGTACAAGTATATTCTTAGCAATCTCCATGTATTATTATAATTATATAAAGCTATGTAATTCTATTAATCAATATAACATTTTTCAACTTCACAAAATCAAGTAACATAGTACTCGTACTTGTTTATAACAAGAATTAGCCAAGTAACATAGTACTTGTATTTACATTAGACTAGGATGTAAATGTAACATATAAACATTAATAATGTTTAAAAATAAAATTTATACTTCGTATATATTTATCAAATTATAAATTATAAGCAGGAATAGGGATTTGAACCTGAAATCTAATGTAAATACACGATTTATTGATTCATAATGATCATAAACATAAAACATGTAATTGCAAAAAGAACAACTTAAGGTCAATCAACAAGACCTTGCAATTCCTTGATGAATTTGTCAATGTAACCACTCATAAACTTTGGATCCCCTAATTTTTGCCTCCATAATACATGGTTTTTCTTGATTAACCCACAAATTTCACTACCCTCATCCGTCACACATTTAATTGCGTTGCAAAAACTCTCTTTTGAAACCCATGATCCATCCTCTCCTTTATCAACTTCCACAGCCACTTTCAATTCCTCAACCATTATCTTAGTGTTTAATACTTGATCTTCAAGTTGTGGTATTAATACTATCTGATTTTCACTCATCAAAGACTCCCACATACTCCCGAACCCACAATGACTCACAAAGCACCCGACCGACGGGTGATTTAGTATTAGTCGTTGTTGCACCCATTCTCCCGTGACCACCCCTCGCTCCTTGGTCCTCTCGGCGAATCCCTCTGGGAACGCTTCCTCCACGGTAATACAACCTGTGGGGGGCTTTACGGCTACTAAAAAGGGTAAATTTGTCATTTCAAACCCGAGGAGGAGTTCTTGGAATTGTACCACCTCGAGGACAAATTGACTTCCGAAGGAGCAGTATACCACTGAGTTGGGGCGAAATTGGTTGAGCCATTTCGCCCAATGACCCTCCAATTCTCCCTCTATCTCGAGCTCCGGGAGGACCGGACCCGAGAAGAGGATAGGCTTGTTATCATACTGGCTAGATAAGTAATCACAATACTTCCCTTCGGTCTCTTGGCAAGTACGGACAGCAATGACGTGACTACGTTTTACTGCGGTGGTGACGCGATCATACAAAGTGAGCCCCTGACCCAAAGGCATGTACAAGCCTAGCAACCTCCTCGGCTCTAAGACAACCTTAGATGAAGGGTAACGATGAGGTACATTGACAACACAATCGTCTTCCTCAACCACGGCCTTGTCCTTGGGTGGGTCCCTAGACGGGACCATACCAAAGGCCAAGGCCGCAGTGGAAACCACAAAATAGGCCACATACTTGGTCCCGGGAGATACAACCTCCGGGACCCAATGTGCCATGTCATAAAAGACAAGGTTGGGTTGTAGGGTAGAGACAATTGACTCAAACTGAGGACGAGTGAGGTCAAAAGCGGTGGCGAGGTGGTTGTGGAGGGGGAAGGGGACATCAGAGGCGGTTTCGGTCCCTGGAGGAAGGGGATCAACATGAGGAATTGTGATTGTGTGTAAGGTTAAAAGGGATGAATAATAGTGGTTTAAGGATTGTAATTGAAGTTTAGCCTTGTTAGGGAGCAAGAGAGTGACTTTGTGGCCTTTTTCAGTAAGTTTGTTTGCTAAGTGAAAATATGGAGTTATATGTCCCATGGCTATCCATGGATACATCAATATATTTAGCTGTTTTTCCTCCATCTAATTAATTGTTTTTTTTCTTTGGAGTTTGCAAACTATGGGGTATATCTTTTAATATGAAGACTATGTAGTATATTTATTTATACGAAAAGATTACTTAACATTTACTCCCTCCGTCCCCAAAAGTTCGACCTTTTTGGCCTAATTTTAGTCCCAAAATGTTCATCCCATTTCCATTTTAATACCCTCTAATTTGCAATAATATTTGTGCAAAATTAGCTTCCCCATGCAAATTTTGCTTTTTCTATATACTTTTATTACTTTCTCTCTCTACTTTTTTGCAATTCCAATGTAAATTTCCCTTTTCAATTTACTTTTCTTAGCTTCCCCATACATTCTTATACTTCCAATAACTTTCTTAATACCCGCGAAATTAACCTAAAAGGGTCGTTCTTTCGAGGACGGAGAGAGTAAGAACTGAGTGACTGTTTTTGGTGTGAATTTTGAAATTCCTATCTAAATTTAATTAATTATTAATTAAAGTAATAGCTTGTACATTTTTCTAGAAGTGGCAGTTGCACTGTCATATTTGAAGGCCCAGCTTGCATGTGTTGTTTGGAAAAACAAAATATTTGAACATTACAGAGTATAATTCAGTTTAATTGTAAAAAAAATAACTATATGTAACAATGCCTTGGCAAGTTGGCAATATAATGTTCATATATAGGAGTTACAGTCTTATGGGGTTTGATTAGTTTATAATTTTCTATGATTCTAGCATGACATACGTGATTTTGTTTATAAATTTCCGTTATCATTATGTAAACGTGGACACCTTTACAATGTATAAATGAATCTCCTTAAACTAGGAACAATCACAAGGAACTTGCAATGAATGGTAAGAATCATGATATAGTGGCTAATCCTTAGCTGTCAATCTATGTCCTTAGCTGTTAAGTTTTTCCCCATTGTTCTTAGGTCATGTTCATTTCACCTTAATAAAAAATAATTTCAATTCAGTAAAAATAAGTTTAGCTCAGTAAAAATATTTTCATTGTCGTAAAAATTAGTAAGTTAAAAGAAAAAATATAATAGACAATCAGTAAAATTAATTTCAATTCAGTAAAAATCATTTAAGCTCAGTAAAAATAAATTCAGTTTAGCAAAAATAACTTCAATTCAGCAAAAATAAGGTGAAGTGAATAGGGCCATAATTTGCTAAATATCTTAAGTTTGAGGGTGGACATTTGGACAAATATTACCATGGGAATTGACTTTAAATTTTTTTACAAAATTACATCAAACGGTCCAAAAGGATCATAGAAAACTGGAAAAGCATAAAATTTGTCCAAATTGATATTTCCTACATGACTAATAATTAAAGCTTGAAATTATTTTCGCTGAACTAAAATTATTTTCGCTGACTGAAATTGATTTTACTGAACTTAAATTAAGTTTACTGAACAGAAATTATTTTTACTGATTCTCTATCATAAATCTTTTTTAAAGTTATTGATTTTTATTGAACTGAAATTATTTTTATTGAACTGGATTTATTTTTGTTGTACTAAACTTATTTTACTGAACTGAAATTATTTTTTCTGAATTAAAATTATTTTTTTAAGGTGAAGTGAACAGGGTCTAATATGATACATTTGATTTAAGCTTAATTTATAGTGATATAATACCCTCTTTTAAATTATGATATATTAGATGAACCCCGTGCGATGCACAGTTTGTTTGTATTTTCTTACAACTTATATTTTTTCCTATGTTTGTGATAAAATTTGTTACTTTTTTTATTCGTTGTACATAATATATCATATTATCATTTAATATTTTTATTTTATTTATTTTAAAATAAATTAAAATTTTGTCTCATTCGTTATATATTTAGATGAAATTCCTAATATCAAAAGATAATATTTTATATTTATTAATTTAAATTTTAAAATTTCATTTGCCAATTTTATTTGTTAACGTAGAACTTAATCTTTAAGATGAATAAATGATAAATGATGAACATTTTTTTTTGCTACAAAAAGAGAAAGGATATATTTTTAATTTCAATGATTATTTTTATTTTTTGTATTTAATTTAAAAAAAAATTGAGAGAAAACTTTTAATTAAACGTGATTTCATTTTTTTATTAGTATATTGTTATAAAATATATTATTATAATCACTTGTCATATTTTCATTAGTTTTTTATCTAATCCAATTTTTATAAAATATCAATTGAACGTGAATTTCATTTTTTAAAAAGTTTAATAGTATTTTTTTTATATATACGAAATAAAATAAATTGTTCTTTTCTCTTAGATAAAATCTCCAATTTAAAAGATAGTATTTTATTTTTATAATATATTTAAATTTTTAATTTTAATCTTACGTGGTGCTTTAAAATAATAATTCTACATGGCATAATCCTATACGTAACGCTCTAAAAATACTAATCCTACATGGCGCTCTAATAATTTTTTAAAAATCAAAATTCTAGGTGGCTTTCTAAAATCATAGGAAAAAAACTCCCCTTTATATAATTTAACGTGATTTCATATTTTTTAGTATATTTTTATTAATATTTTATTATAATCACTTGTCATATTTTCATTAGTTTTTTTATCTAATCCAATTTTTTTTAAATATCAATTGAACGTGAATTTCATTTTTTTTAAGTTTAATAGTATTTTTTTATATATACGAAATAAAATAATTTTTTTCTTTTCTCTTAGATAAAATTTCCAATTTAAAAAGATAGTATTTTATTTTTATAATAAATTTAAATTTTTAATTTTAATCTTACGTGGCTCTTAAAAATAGAAATCCTACGTAGCATAATCCTATAAGTAACGCTCTAAAAATACTAATCCTACATAGAACTCTAATAATTTATTAAAAATAAAAATCCTAGGTGGCTCTCTGAGATCTTGGCTCTCTAAACTCCCCTTTATATATATACTAGTTTTGTGCCCGGACGATGCCCAGAATATACTTTTTAGCTTGAATGTTAAATATGATCCTATAATTTCTTTTAATAATGCATTATATTTAGACATACGATATCATATCGTTTACTTATACAATAGTGTACTTTTTATAGTTTTGTTTGTAAATAGATATCTGTGTTATGGTTGACTTGAAATTATTTTTACTAAATTTAAATTATTTTTACTAAAGTGAAAGTATTTTTACCAAATTAAAATTATTTTTACTAATTAAAAATTATTTTTTTACTAATTCTCTATTATTTTTTAAAATAAATTAAATTATAATAAACGGATCTAAAGAACTTTTCAAAATGAATTTTATGATGGAAATAGAATTGAGTTATAGGATAATATTAAAAGTTATGATTAATTTTGTATATAAGAAATATTAGAAGCATATAGACAATAAAACTCTTTACAATATTTTTATCTTATAAAATCTATCTAAAATTCGCTTACTTAGCATCATATGTGTCACAATAATACCTATTTGTCGCCTACGTGGCGCGACACTTGGCGAAAAACTGAAATGCCAAGTGTCGATATCTCGTAGTCTGACTGCGAGATCGGCTTTATTTATTAGTCATATAATACGTTAGATTTTGTACGTCATAATGTAATTATTTTTCAAATAGCATATTACTTACAAATTCATTATAACCATCATTTTTTTTTTGAAACAAAACAATTCATTAATAAAAAGTCATACAACATCTACAAATGAAATCTAAATTAACAAATACATAAAATTGAATCAAATAAGAGTTTCCTTTATAACCATCATTCATCTCCACCTACCAATTGAAACTTTAAGATTACATATAGTTTTCTTGCTTTTTTTTTTCTTTGTTTTTTTTTTAGGAAAAAAAAATCCGATAAATGATGCATTAATTCTCATGTTCATCTTTTTTTCGTGATTTATAGAAAAGGAAAAAAAAAAAATCAAACTCTTCAAAATGATTAATTGAGTAATTACATGAGATTATCATTAAAAAAAACAATTAAATACAGTACATATTTACATGAACTTGATTAACCTTGGAGGTGATTTCTGATTCTAGCCACTTCTTGTCCATCAATCATAAAAGCCTTTTCCAACACTCTATCTGGCATAGGTGGCTTTGACGTAAATGTAGCAGTTGGAACTACTTGGGTTCCTGGGTTTTCACTACTAAGCCCAGAAATTGCCAATGCTGGGCTTTTCGAGTCCACATTATAAAGGAAATGGATCAACCCCTTTGGAAAAACAAATGACTCACCGGGCCTCAATCGTTGTGTATACATCGTATTAGATGTATCGACAAAGCCCACTAAGATATCGCCTTTGAGGCAAGTGGTGACCTCCGAGGCCCGTGGATGAGCATGGGGTGGTACAAGCCCGTCAGGGGCAATATCGACTCGAGCCATGGATAGGCCTTGAGTGCGGTGACCCGGAAGATTCTGGTTGGTGGTGAGGATGACACTAAACCCAAAGGCGTTCTTGCTCGTGTTACCGGGTTTTGATAAGGCCGAAGTTGCAAAGTGTGTTGGGCTAGCAAGTTCCGGATTCAAGCATGGTTGCCCATTCATGAAAGAGCACGGTTGGGCCGTTGTGTCTGCAATGCAATAATCTTGAAGTGGTTGTGGGTCAGCTTGGGTCAGGCCCAATAACGAGGAAATTATTAAAAAGAGGTTAAGCATGATATTGGAATTCATGGTTATCAAATAAAATGAATAAAATTTGAAAAAGGGTGTTATTTTGTTGAAGGTTCATAGAACATCATACTACGGGCTACTATTTATAAGAAACCTAAATTTAGGAGAGAGAAAGTTATGTGATGTTTTAACAAAAAATAAATGGATAATTGAGTAGCTTAAGAGGCAATGATAAAGAGAAGGAACTTGGAAGGCAAAACATAGATGAAAGGGAAGTTTTTTATATTCAAGTCATAGTCATGGGACAAGTATATGTACATAGTACTCGTGGAATAGTGCTATGTGATGTTATGTTGTAGTTATTATATGATACCTACGAGGCTATAATAATAATAATAATAATAATAATTATTATTATTATTATTATTATTATTATTATTTTAATAAAAATAATTATTGTATATATTATTTTATGATGCTCGAAAATATTGTAATATTTCCTACAATAATATTGTTTTTAAGATAAATCTATTGTTATTAAGATGAGTTCAACTATTATAAAACTTATTTTTTTAATGTATTTCTAGCACCTTTAAATGTGACAATAATTTTATGAAAAGTGCTTAAAATAAATAAAGGATCAGAGTTGTTGGAGTACTCTTTTTAGTTTAGTGTGTTCCCTAACTTCACTTATTATGACGTTTTAAGAAAATACTACGTAAGTTTATAGTTGGTTACCAAATGTTATTTTAACGTAATTTTTAATAGTGAAAGGTGTAAAAATAAAAATATATTAACCATATCCTATTTTAGAAATAGAAATACTAAATTACCATAAAGAAATGTGAACAAACAAAATTGAGATAGAGGAAAACTAATATGTTATGTTTATTGACTTATGGAAATCAAAACCTCTTTTTTTTGTGCAAAGTAGAGGTGTGCACATGTCGTTTCGTGTAAGTCCACATTTTGTGCCAGTTTGTTTCATTGCATAAGCGTATTGTGGGTGAGCAAAGACCCAGGGTACTCGGTATCGGACCCGGAACTGGTCTCACCGGTTTCGGGACCGGGTCCAAAAATTCGGACCCGGTTGGAACCGGTTTTTCAAAACCGGGTCCTAGAAATTTGGACCCGGTACCCGGTGGGTACCCAGTTGTTTAATATGTTTAATTTTTTTCTTTTCTTTTTTTTTAAAAAAAATTTCTTAATTTCTTAAGTTATTTCCCTCTAACCCTCTTCTGCCACTCTCTTTCTCTCTCCTCCCTTTTCTCTTCCTCCAGATCTATCACATTGTTGTTAACCTCTTCCGTCGCCAATTTCTCTCTCCTATCCTCACCGTCAAACTACTTCACCATCTCCTCCACGCCATCAATCTGATTTCTCCATAGAAGAGGCTTATGTTGAAGATGAATCACGCTTTCCTCTCGATTTCCCTATTTTATGTATCTTCTCTAACTCTTTATATAGTCGATTAATTTTTTAATTTTGATTAACAAGAGTAGTCAGATTCTAGGGTTTATGTTTTCGAATTGAAATCATCATGAAACAATTGATTTGTTGTAATTGCTAGGAATTTTCGAATCAAGGTAAGTTGTTCTAATCCTGTAGTTTCGAACTAGGATGTTTAATTATTTGGGATTGTTTCTATCATAATCTAAATAATTTCATTAGTTTTTGTTTTCCTTGAATTTAGAAGTGCTTTGGATGCTAAATCTGAGAGAATTGTGCAGGAAGCATTAGATAGAATAATGACTAACATTTTTAAGGAAGGTAATGCTGCAATTTGATTGTTATACACTAACGTTTTCGATAGACTAATCCCTCTAATATTTTGCAAGTAAGGCCAATGAGGGTGGTGGTGGATTGGTGGGTGTTGGTAGTGGACTGGTGGTAGTGTTTAATTTATTAAACATCCCCACTTTCTTTTTCTTATTCTTAATAATATCTTTAATCTAAGATGAAGATTGAAGATCTAGGTACCCGGTCTTGTAACTGGGAACCGATTCCGGGACCAGTTCCGAAATTTCTAGACCCGCTTCAACCGATTCCGGGACCGGGTCCAAGATCTGGATACCCGGTACAACCGGTTCCGGGACCGGGTCCTGTGAACTCAACCGGGTACCAGGTTCTGCTCACCCCTACTTAGAACGAGCCAATAAATAGGTGTATCGTCGTGGCAGCCTTGTACAAATGTTTAATTAATGAACCAAGCTCATCAATCACGACCTGACCCATATGTCACGCAAGCGGTCCCTTTAATAATTTTGATAACGATTTTCATGCACACCAGCGCAAATCTTTAATAAACAAAGTTCAATCACGACCCGACCCATGTTACAGTCAAAGATATGCACACCAACATGTGGATTGACCCAGCGTGCTCATGTCAAATTTTGATAATGATGTTCATTCACGACCCATGATCCATTGACATGCCTCTTGTGTTGTATCAGTCTTGTGACGAGCTCATGTTGTATTCGCCAAACCTATGCTCAACTCTTGTACAAAGTTAGATTACACATTGTCATTGCTTTATGCCTCTATATATATATTAAACTATGAGGCCAAAAAAAAAAGTTTATTCACTTCGAGACAAATATTAGACTAGACAAATTAAAACTAAATATTGCTAACATTTTTTGGCGAATAGGATAAAAATAAGAGAGAGATTCTTTCATAAAATAAAGGAAAATTAAAGAGAGATTACATGAGTAGTAGGGAGAGAACTAGTTTGAAATGTATTTCTCATAAAAGTCATAATATTATTGTTCAATCTTGAATTATAAAGTGAGTTGTTAAGAGCCGGGGAATGTATTATATTCACTTGATTTTCAACTACATAAGTTATTTTATATATATAAAAAAATGAAATATAATATTATTTTTCCAAAATCAAACTTGTCTTAATGTTTTACTATATTTTAACTTATTTTAATTATGAAGTGCATGTACTTGATAAACCTTAATTTTCTAATGGTATGGATAATAAGATGGCTTAGCTAGATCAATATTTAAAGTATCAACTTATATATTCTTGATCAATCTGTGGGTAGAGAGAGTCACATTGAGCAGTGATATAGACAAAATTTTACTTAACTCTTAGGTATTATAATTAAATTAATAATTGTATATTACATTGATAACTTAATTTACCATTTGATGAGGAAATAAAGAAAATCAATTTTATTTTTTCATCAAATATTATTACTAGCATTGTCTTAGGGTTTTTACTTTTTTTTTTTTTTTTTTTTTTTAATTTTCATTTTTCCTCAAGATTTTTGTTTATAAGTTTATGGTCGATTATTACCTGTCTCTATACACTCTCTATCTTTAATTTCTTCAAAAATTAATTAATTACCTTTTTTTGAGTTAAAGACAACACTTTAAATAGTTGTTATTTATTTTCTTACTATATCACGTCAATTATTCTCTGTTTTGAGTTTTTCCCTTTCTTTTATCTCTACCGCGCTTAAATTTCTTATAAGAATCTCTTAATTTTTATTACATTTACTTTTTTCTTGTTAGAGAAAAATTCATGCCAAATTGGTTTGTGAGAAAATTGAACTTCATCTCTTCAATTTCCTCTTCTACTTTCTCACACTTCAAACCATGGTTTCTTAAATATCTCCTTTCATAAAGGGGTGATTATCTTTCTTTTTTTCCAATTCCCAATCCATAATTGTCAAAATCCATCCTTTTTTCAATAGATTTACTTAGAGGTGTCCATCATGCGGGTTGTGCGGGTTGGGGTTTCATGACACACGACATGATCCATGTAGAGTAGGGTGGGTCGGGTCAGAGATATTGGACACACTAGGGTTGGGTTCGTGGGTTAGATGGGTCGTGGGTGGGTCGAGCTGGGTTCGTGGGTTAGACGGGTCGTGGGTGGGTCGAGCTGGGCTTGTGGTTTAGACGGGTCGTGGGTGGGTCGAGCTGGGTTCGTGGGTTAGGTGGGTTGGAGGGTGGGTCAAGATGGGTTTGTGAGTTGGGTGGGTTAGGGTCGAGTGGGCCAAATGACTAAGTGGGTTGTGTGGGTCAAATATCCAAGTATGTTTTTTTAATAGTTTTGAACTTTTATTTTGAAATAATATATTGCACATATTTATTTTTAAGGTTGTTTAATTCTTACAAAATTAACAATTTGATGGCTTGCTCTAATTAAGATGCCTACGGAATCTTATGTCATAAAATAAGGAATCAAAGCCAACGTAATTCTTATAATTCTAAAAGATTTTCCAAACCTTCAGCTTTGACATCGAGGTCAAGAATAGCAGCGATTCCATAAATAATTGGGAATTCACTAAATTAAGTATGCCACTTACATTTCATGCTATCAAGAACGGGATGAAGTCCATCAATTTTCATATGTTCTCCGATGGTGTGAACAATTTTAACACACACCAATATGACTAAAAGAATGTTAGGCTCATAGATGTAAGAGAAAATATGAGTTGCATTATCAAAAGCATTTAAAACATCACGAACAAAAGAGGCATTAGTCCAATGACTTTTGGTTATTAACTCACTAGGATAAACACGAGTCTCATTGTAAAGTTGGGTCAAAACATCACGATACTTTATAGGATCATTCAACAAATTGAAAGTAGAATTATATTCCAACGGGTAGGGGTATCAATAGATCATTGTCTTTTCTTAAGACCTCTCTCTTTACTCATTACCATGTACTTCCATCTAACTGAGGAAGTAATCCTATTTCATTTTATAATAGTTTGATCTAATTGAGTTTAGCAATGGTTGCAACTCACCGAGACCCTCTTGAACAGACAAATTCAAAATATGTGCACAACATCTAACGTGTAAGAGATTACCACCCAACAACAAATTCAACATAGAGTCATTTTTCAAATAGTCAATACACATTGTGATTGCAGTTATATTATCAAGAGACAAAGAAAAAACTTTACCATTCAAGTGAAAATCTCTTAAACAATCCATAATACGAATTTTGATGTTAAAACCGGTATGCCTTTCTTCCATAGCTTGAAAATAAAGTATACGTTTTTTAATAAACAAATCATCATCCACCAAATGAGCAGTAATGCAAAGAAAAGATTCACCAAACACAAGAAGTCCATGTATCACTTGTAAAACTAACACGACCATGTGGGCCATGCAGGTTGGGCGTGCAAGGTGGGTTGGGTCGTGCGAGCTGGGTCGGGTTGGGTGGGTTCATTGGCTAGGTGTATCGAATTAAATGGGTCAAAACGGGTTGTGCGACTTGGACAGAATCAAACGGGTTAAAACGAGATGGGTTAAAATGGGTTGTGTTGAAAATTTAATTAAGACCCACGACACAACCCGGGCTGTACCTGGTTGAAACCGGGTCGAACACACGTGACCCACCAGCCGTGCGGGTCAGGGTGGGCTGGGTCCAACTCGGCCCACTAGCCACCTCTAGATTTACTCCACATTTAACTAAGATACTATTCAGTATTACTTCTAGCTCCAACTCTATAATGTAAAACAATCTCTCCTTTTCATAAAGTTTTTGTGTCCTCTAAAATATCCAAAAAAAAGAAATAAAATAACAATGTTATTTTTCCTACGTTATCATTCAAGTTGTATATATCATAACCAATAATGAAATAAATCACGGTCAAAATCGTGCCACAAAATAAGACGACACAACCAAAAGCAAACCCATAAACCATCTTCCTTCTCTAACCCTAATCCTAATTATAATCCTAAGTACTTTATGAGCAAACTTTATAATCAATAATTATTATAGCAAGTCCTCCATAATTACTCAAGAAATAAATGCAAAAAATTCAAAAAAAAAAAAATCAAGACCTATCACGTGCAAACCGTTCTTATGCATCTTCCCACCACCCTCATCATTCACACAGTATCCCACTCTCTCTCCTCTCCCTTATTCTTCGAAAGTGGGCCTTTTTCTTAATCTTAATCTAAAGCTAAAAAATGCTTCATTTCTCTCGTTGTCAATAACTTCATTTACCAGAATTACTTAGTTGTCTTCTTTCTCATGATTTTCTCCTAATTTCTTCCAAGTTATCTGTCATTTTTATTTGCCAACTTTGGTGGGTTCCAACTTCCCACTAATTACTCTTTCATTTTTGTTTTTTCTAATTTTAATTTGTAAATTTAACTGTTTTATTAATTTTAATGGAGTATATTACACCCTTTTCAATATATACTAATATGTTTATCAAATTTTGCTTAATTTTTGTAATTTGGTTGATGGGATTTGTTGAATTTGATCTGGGTTTCTTCCCATGTGATGATTACATGTGGGGTTTGGTTTACAGCTTAGTAACTTCTGGAAGTAGTGAACTGCCAAAAAGAGCAGAATTATTATAATTTACAGTACTTTACTGAAAAATATATATAAAAATAGAAAATGTAAGTTTTATTTTTCAGAAAGGTTTAAATCATTACACAAGAAAGAAACATTATCACATGGGGTATGGCCTTAGATTTGATCTTCTTCTTATTCTAAATTATTCTACTGTGTTTTTTTTTTTAATTTTTTTTTTTATATAAGTATATAATTATTTTTGTCTTCATATGAGTGATCTTGTTGATTCACAATAATAATTGGAGTGTTAGTCATACTTCTAGTCTAGCAATATTGGTTGCTTAATCTTTCCAATTGGGTTTTTTTTTTTTTTGTAGGTTATAATTTGATAAGATCTTGCAAAAATCTATGGGTGAATCATTAGTTGAGGCTCCAAAAGTTGATGCCAAGGTAACTCCATTAATTCCTTTCCTCTTTATATGGTAACCCCTTTTTGTGTTTTTATGTAACTTTTATGATTTCTTTTTTCTTTGATATTATTTGGATTTTGTCTATCTTTTAGGATTCTGAATTAATATATGGTTTTGGTATCAATGTTGATTGCTTATGATAATTATAATTAATTCATAATATGTTGGTTTGCTGAATTGGGGAAGTGGTAATTTATTAGCATTTTGTTTGATGTTGTTAATGATTTTGTTTATTAGTGGTTTCAGTAAAGAGAAGTTTTGTTGTTTGCGTGTTTGTTAATACAGATGGGTGAGTCTTTTGCACTCCCATGTCTTCAAGAATCAGTGTCATTTGGTAGATTTGAGCATGATTCTCTTTGTTGGGAGAGATGGTCTACTTTCCCAACAAACAAATACTTGGAGGAAGTTGAGAAGTGTTCTACACCTGGATCGGTTGCGCAAAAGAAGGCGTATTTCGAGGCTCATTATAAGAGGATTGCTGCTCGGAAAGCTGAGTTATTGGATCAGGAAAGGAAGAGAGAGGAAGAGGAATATGCGAATTTGGGAGATCGCATTCCAGTGGGTTCGATGTGTAACACCAGTGAGGAAGAGTTTGATGCGGAGAAATCAAGTACTCAGAACTCTGTTGATGGAACTGAGGTGCTAGGTGAAGTTGGTGAATTCACTGATGAAGTGAGTGTTAAGCATATTGATATTGTAGACTATGGTGCTGATATCATAATTGAAGAAGATGGAGTTGCAGATCTCACTAGTGAGGTGAGTGATTATAGTGATGAAGTGAGTGGTCGTGTTGATGTAGATGAATTAAATGAAGAGGCAGATATCATGGTTGAACAGAGGGAGCACATTGATGAACTGAGTGACCATTTTGATTTCATTGATGAAGTGACAGATATCATGGTTGAACAGAGTGAGCATATTGATGAACTCAATGACGAGGCTGGTGTGGCCGAAGAAAAGAAGGATATACAGCCTGAGCATTTTGAGGAGGTAATTAATGGTGCTAATATGATCAAAGAAAATAAGGATATACAGCCAGAGGATACTGATGGGACTGGTGTGGCTAATGAAAAGAGGGATTTATTGCCGGAGCTTATTATTGACTCTAATAGTGGCACTAACTTGATCAAAGAAAACAAAGATATACAGACCCAGCTAGTGGATGTGAATGAAGATTCATGTCTTAAAGTGGAAATCCCTCCTATAGAGAAACCAGATGAACCTGTTTTGGTGAAAGAAGATACTGCTTCAGCACGAGTGTGGCATGATAAGGAGGTATTGCCTCAAGAAAAGGTTGAAGAACGAAAAGTTGCAGAGAAAGGAACTAAAAACCCAGTAAAATTGGTTGATCCAATGAAAACGAAGAAGGTATTGTTCTTATCCTAGTCTATTTTATCTTCTTTTTGTGATTGTTAGAAATTTAACAGCTTTTCATGTTCCTTGAATTTTATGTTTGACAACTTTGGTGAAGAAGACAACTGATACCCCCAATTCTAATAAAAAACCAGCATCACCAATCCCTGCAACTTTAGTGAAGAAGAAAACTGATAAAACAAGTTCTAATAAAAAATCAGCATCGCCAATCCCCGCAACTTTGGTGAAGAAGACAACTGATACAACAAATTCTAAGAAAAAACCTGCATCTCCAATCCCGAAAAAACCTGCTGCATCAATGCCAAAGTCACCAATGATGTCTACTCCTAAGTCATTGAAGCCTGAGTTGACAAAAACTGCTAAGTCTACCACACGGCCATCAGTTCAGAAGGAAAATGGTTGCACTCCACTGACAAGCAAGAAAGCAACTAGACCTGAAAGTAAGAGAGTACTACCTACATCCTTGCACATGTCTTTCAGTTTAGGACCAGCTCATTCTGATTCAGCATCACTTACACCAATGAGAAATTCGTTGATCATGGAGAGGATGGGTGATAAAGATATTGTAAAACGAGCATTTAGGGCCTTTCGAAATGTCAATCAACTTTCAGCGTCTAGTTTAGTGAAACCGACTACACCAAATCAGGTGATTTTTTTTTTTCTTCCCTGTAATGATTACTTTTAACAAGTAATATGAATTTTTGCATTAGTTTATTTATGATGTCTATGGGTGGTGGGGGGTTACTGCACATTATATTTTACCACTGAGCTTACATTGTAAAGTTGAATCTTTGCAGTCTACAACCAAAAGGATTGAAGTGAAGGTTACTACGCCTGACAATGCTCAAAAGAAAAAGGAAGGGTAATGTCTTTATGTTTTATGCCCACCATATGACATTCTTTTATGCTTTTAAATGTTGCTAGCTATTTACTTGCCCAGTAAGTGCTGTATTGTTCAGCTTCAAGGATCTTTAAGCAGATTGTTTTTGTAATCGCAGATACTTGAGCGTAACAAACCGAGTATTAATCTTCTGACTTCTGTTTAATGGTTGATTTTTCATCACAAAGTAATGTTTTCTTCCTAATTCATGCAGGTAGATGCCAGGGTATAAGCTTCCGGTCAATCGAGGTGAGCAGGTTGTCACAGGGCGAGTGCAGGGAAACTGTCAGCACGTGACAAGGTGACCATATAATTAAGCAGATTGTTTTTGTAATCGCAGTCCAGCCGTTCAGGACAAGTCTCATACTATTAATAGTCAAAGTGGTGTATCACACAGAAGTTAATTATCATTTTGGTGCGGAGTAAATAGGTCTATCACTGAGAAAGCTAGATGTATAAAGGAGCAGTTACATAGTTATAACTAATAAGTAAGTTTAAGTCTTATGTGGCCTGAAAAACACGAGGGCAAAAAATGTACATCTGAATTATTTCAATTTCAAGATATAAATATAGGATTGTCCTTATATTCCTAATATTATGGGTCCATCAATAATGTTTTACTGTATCCTTGAATCTATAATTAAAATTGTTGTATCCACCACCCTTGTTTGGTATGATGTTGGCCAATAATATGCATTGTTATTAAGTTGTTTGTCTGTCTGTCACATCTTTGGAAGGAAAATCATGGGATTTTCTCATCTTATCTTTAATATTCCACAAAATCTTGAAATTTTGAGTGGATATTGATTAGCAATAGCTTAGTTGTTAGACTGTATACAACGTGGTATTATTATATAGTTGATGGACTGTGCTGTGGCACGTCTATGATTAGAAAATAGATCTTGAGCATTATCTAATGATTATTTTTAAATAGAAGTATGTCACACGTAAATGATAGTAATGAAAATCTTAAGACCCTTTTTGTTGGTTACATTTAAAATCTCTAATTTAAAGAGAAACTTTAATGACTACGTATTAAATAGTTATTTTATATAAGAAACTATATTGATGTAAGGTTTTATTAGATGCACTTGATGTGTGCCTTTAAAAATATATTCCATATTTCATAATTTTTTGAATATGTAGTTGAAAGCTTGAAGATAGTGCAATAAGCCAATAACCAATAAGACATATATCTATAACTAATACTAAAGTAGCAACTGTTGATGTCATCTTTTTCCAAAGCTGTACAAGTGGCGCTACCTCGTAAAAAATTTTCCCGCTCAAATGTTAAGCTCGTCTATCTATATACCTAAACTATATTAGAGTTTTTTTTTGGAGGGAATTTTACCTCCTAAATTCTTTTTTTTTTCATTTAGATTTTTGCAGAATTATTAATGTGTCTAGAAACTTTATATTTTAATTATTTATTATTATGATGGACTTTTAGATCACATTTTTCATGAGAACTCTATTTTTTTTTATACTTGAATTATTAATTATTATGGTGGACTTTTAGATCACATTTTTCATGAGACTTCTATATTTAATTTCAATTACCTTTACTAAAAATCGAGCATGGCTCGGGTATTATCTAGTAAAATACTAGGTTAAAATCCCGTGCAATATACGGTTGTTAAATATTTTTGACAATAATATTACAAATTTTTATATAAAGTATATAAAAGATATTGAGAAACATTTCATTTAGGTATATATGAATTATGATTGTCAATAAATAAATAAATAAATAAATAAATAAATAAATAAAAGCAAAAAAGGCAGGAAATTTTTTCACAAGGTTATATAAAGTATCATAAAAGGATTTGCTTTTACTATAGGTTAATAGATAACTACTTAGAGAGGAAGAGAGTATATATCAAGTGATTTTTGTAAAGGATATCATTCACGAATCATGATTATGCCCAGGACATTCGAGGTCAAATGAATACTAACTATAAGCACAAATCTAATATATATAAATAAAGTAGGCATTTTTGGAGAGCATTCGGAGCGCCACGTAAGAAATATATTTATTTCGACCAATAAGAAGAAAGATTTGTATTTTATTTTTGAGTTAAAAAATTATGTCGTCACCCAGATAAAAGTAACGAATTAGATTTGATATATCTAAAATTTTAATGCCACGTAGATTATAATCCAAGAATTAAATTATTTTAATGAAAAAAAATAAAGTAAAAATATAGGAAAAGATAAATTTATTAATTCAATACTACGAGTATAAGAAATCCAAAAAAAAAATATACTAAGAAATATTTAAATGATAAACGCTTATAATAAAGTTTAATACCTATCATTATAAGATAAATTTTGATAGTATTTATGATAAGAAATACAAATTGTTCGTTAATTATAATTAAATTAAAATTTGTGATACCTACCATTATAAATTGACACATCATACGACACAAACAAAATTTCGTATCAATAAAAAACCCCATCAAGCAAATTTTGTGTTAGTAATTTTGTGTTAATTTTTGGTCATCAATGTCCGGGTAAGTTTTAGCTTAATTTTTAAAATTCTATGTTTAAATTAGAATTTCTAATTATTACTTACATTGTATTAATTTGGGATACTCAACGATTATATGTTTATGTTTTATTTACTAAATGTTTTTTTATGTGTAGATCTAACACATCATACGACACAAATAAAATTATGTATCAATACAAAACCCCATCAAGCGAATTTTGTGTTAGTTTTAGGTCATCAATGTCCGGGTAATTTTTAAAATCTTATAGTTAAATTTATATTTGTAATTATTAGTTACATTGTATTTATATAGGATACTTAACGATTATTTGTTTATGTAATGGCATACGGTTATATGTTATGTATTTAATATATAGATGGCTTTGGTTATTTTTGGAGATGATGAAAAAATTCCAATGCATAGATTTGATTTTATATCGCAACAATTTTTCATTTATTGGTAAATACATTGATTTATTTTATATAAATGTAAAGATTTAATTTATATCAATTTAAGTTTGGCTAACATTTCATGGTTCAATTTATCCATTGATGTAGTGTGGATGAGGTTGGTGATTCTATTGAAATAAAAGATATAGTAAAAAATGATTTAGGATTTAAATTATTAAAAATTTATCATTTCACATTAAAGATTTTTATAACGGAAAATATATCATATTTATAATTTATTTATATTTAATAAATTCATTATAAATTATAGTAAAAAATAAATAAATATTAAACTTTTGTAATTTTATCTGAATTTATTAAATACAATAAATCAAATAATTAAAAATTTTAGATGAAAAAACCGTGCATCGCACGGGCTTCCATCTAGTTCAAAGTATAAATAAATTCATTATTGTCATTGTTTTGGGGCAAATGACTGGTTTCATTGTCGGTTACAATTGATTAGACAAAGGTATATAGTAATAAGAAAATACCAGTTTATCAATATAATAAACAAAATTTATATATCAAATGGCAAAATTGTAAATAAATCGATAACTTTTTATTAAATATGGGTCTCATTATTGTTTATATATTTACCAAATTGCAATGCTAACTGGACATTTATGTTATTTCATTTACCATTTTGCCGTTTGATAAACAAATTTTGTTTATCAAATTGATTAATCGGGGCTTCCTCTATAGTAATTAATCCTGGGCACCGTGCCGTGCCGGGCCGCCGCGGGCCGTGCCTGGCGGGCCGCGGGCTGGTTCGTGTCGTGCCGGTCGTGCCGGCGGGCCCAGGATTTCGTGCCGTGCCGTGCCGGCCATTTTCACAGGCCAGCCCACGGCACGGCACGGCCCTCGTGCCTGGCGGGCTCGTGCCGTGCCGGCCACGTGCCGGGCTGCGGGCTGGCCCGCGCGGGCTGGTGCAGTTTCCAATTTTTTTTTTTTTTTTTTTTAATGACAACATTATTAATTAATAAGTTTATAATGTATATAAGTTATAAAATTATAATTATAAGTTTTATAAGGTAACTTATAAGTTTATAACTTATAAGTTATAAGTTATTAAGTTATGAATTTTATAATTATAAGTTGAATATTTATGTTTTATAATTTGTATATTCAATATTTATATTTATATATTTACTTTATACTATTACTTTAAAATTTAATGTTTATGATTTATTAGTAATTGGTATAATTTTTTTTTTTTTTAATATGAATTTACAAATTGTAACAAAACGGGGAAAAAAGGCAAATTGGACTTTGGATGTGAATAATGCGTACTTTATATTATTATTACTTGAGTTGAGAAAATTGTACAATGATAACAATGATAAAAATCATACAATGATGGTATTAAACAAAAATTGGAAAATGATAAAATTGATATTTTTAAAATCGTACAATATACAATAATTGTCTATTCTTCTTCTCCTTCTTCTTGCTCGTCTTCGTCTTCGTCTTCGTCTTCGCCTTCGCCTTCAAGGTCATCGGCTAGTTGCATAGATTGGGAACTAGCCGAACCCGAACCGGAAGCGGAGGTTCCTTCTTCGTTGTCGTTGTGGTCGTAAGAACGGTCTTGTGAGCGATTTTCCGCATCCAACCAATCTTTGAAACACACGCACATTTCTAGTGTTTCGGGTTTTAGACTTGTTCTTCTATCGTCTAAAACCCTTCCGGATGCGCTGAAAGCTCGTTCGGAGGCGACGGAGGAAACTTGGATAGCAAGAATGTCTCGTGCCATTGCCGCCAAAGTTGGATGCTTCGAGCTTTGTTGTTTCCACCATGCAAGGAGGTCGAGGCTGTTTATCTCATCGTCGTCCATGCCTTTGGTGAAGTCGTAACTCAGGTACATCTGCAACTCCGAGACGTCGCTTTGCGTTCTCCTGATTGATGAATCACCTGAAAACCTTGAAATCAAGTTAGTAGCTTGTGAAAATAAATGTTTGGCCTTCTTACTTACGTTTTTAGATGGTTGGGAAGGCCCTGAGCGAGGAACGGTGCCATATTTGGCTTCATAGACTCTATATAAAGCAAAAAACTGATCCTTCACATTAGTCTTATAGTTTTCTACATCATCGTCAAGAAACATGCATTGAAAGTAAATGTCAACTAACATAAATGTGTTTTCATACTTTTGGCTAGGATCTAATATGGAAGCAAAAATATAAATCAAAGGAATCTGACTATAATATTTACGCCACTTTTTTTCCATTGCTGGAAGATACTGATCATAATCACTTTGATCGCGATGATCAGCGAAAAGTTGGGCGAGTAAGCATGCATTAGAAAGAAAGTTTTGAGCACAAGGATTGTAAACAGTAGAAAAACAATACGTCATGTTATATAATAACTGTAAAAATTGCATATATCTTTCACAGTTATTCCAATCATCATCATACAAAGCATTTTGTGGAAATTTTTGGTTGTAAAATAATGTTAACGGGCCCTTGTACTCAATTGCCTTTGTTAACATGTCATAGGTGGAATTCCACCTAGTTGGGCAATCGGTTCTAATTTTTATTACCCTTATCTTTTGTTGTTTTAGAAAACTCTTCCATTCTTGGTATCTCATGTTAGAGCTATTAATAGACATAATAGCATCTCTGATTTTGCTGTAGTATGGGCCAATTGCCCGAACTCCATCCTGTACACATAAGTTAAGTACATGGCAAACACATCTAGTATGAAGAGCTTCACCGTCTAATAGTACATCGGTTAAGTTTTGTTTGATAAGATTAGCTGTGTATGTCATAGAGGTTGCATTATCAAAAGTCATAGACATCATTTTATCTCGAAGGTTGTATTCGTCTATTGCTTGCATTAAATGGTGAGCAATGTTAATGCCGGTGTGTGGGTATTCCAGCATTTTGAAATGTATTATTCTTTTTTGTAACATCCATTGATCATCTACCCAATGGCAAGTCACACATAAATAGTGATATTTATAACCACTATCCCAAGAATCGGCTGTTAAAGATACTCTACAGTTAAGGTTACTCAATTCGGCTTGTAACCGGACTTTGTACTCTAGGAAATTTTTCATTGCTGCGGAACGAACGGTTTTCCTAGAGATTCTTTTATGTTGGGGTTGTAGTGCTTTGTTAATGTAGGTGTTGAATGCGTCACTTTCCGAGAAAAGAAAAGGTTGTTCAGCGTGTACTATCATTTTTCCTAGTTCATCCCTATCCCTCTCATAGTTGTATGTAAAGCCGTATGGATGGAATTGGGAAATTTTGGGCTGGGTTGGATCACTAGCTGGTTTTGCACAAGCTTTCATGTGTCTAGATAAGTGTCCCGTCCCGTTTTTGGTAACTGCCGTGAATACACTATTACATGTTTTACATTTTGCCCATTGTTCACCATCTTTACTTAGGACAAAATAACGTCATACCTCACTCCTTCGGTTTTTCAAAAGTAGCATCTCAGTTTCGGTTAACCATTCATGATGTGTGTATTGGTTAGTAGGGGGACTAGTGGGAGTGGCAGTAGAAGGGGTAGTAGAACCGGAGGGAATTCGGGTACTTTCTTGGCTACCTTGGCTAGAACAATAGTTTTGTTGATTACCGATATAATTAGGTGGAAATTGGTATGGTGGTTGTGGAAATTGGTTTAGTGGTGGTGCTGGAAATCCCGACGTATTATATGGCTCATAGCCCGGGGGGAAGTAAATGGGGTCATTGGTTTGACTCGTAATTTGGGGGCTCGTTGTATTTGGTGGTTCCCTAGAACTACTACTACGGATAAGTCGGCCTTTCCCCCTAGACCTAGATGATGGGTTGTTCGATGCCATAATTAACAATTAATTTTTTAATAAAAAGTGGTTAACTATAATAATAATAATTAATAACAACAATTTTAACAATAAAAATATCAATAATAATAATTAATAACAACAACTATAACAATAACAATAACAACAAAAATAAATAATAACAACAATTGTAACAATAATAATAATTAATAACAACAATTATAACAACAACAATAACAATTAACAACAATAATAATTAAACAAGATTATTCTAATAATAACAATAAAACAATAATAAATTTAAGATTAGTTTAGATCTTACAACCGTGCTTCAACGCTCCACTAATTACGATTACGAACTTTTTAATTTTTTCCGATATTAGGAAAATAATTAGAGAATTTAAGAGAATAATTAGAGAATTTAAGAAAATAAGGATTATTAGAGATTTAGAGAATATAAGAGATAAGAAGAAGAGATTGTGATTTTGTGATTTGGGAATGAAATGGAGGTGAGTATTTATAGAATTTTTGGCAAAAAACTAGCCGTTTAACTAGCCGTTGAACTAGCCGTTGGCCCGCGGGCCGTGCTTGCGGGCCGTGCCTGCGGGCCAGCACGGCGGGCCAGCACGGCGGGCCTTGCTCGTGCTCGTGCCGGGCCGTGCCTGGGAATTCTCCACCGTGTCCGTGGCACGGCCCGTGGCACGGAAGTCGAAGTTCGTGCCGTGCCGTGCTTGACTTCGGGCCGTGCCGGGCTGCTCCGAACGGCGGGCCGTGCCGGGCGGCACGCGGGCCAACCCGGCCCGTGCCCTAGTAATCGTATAAATTTATCTTGATATCTAGTAGAGAAATCATTAAATATAAATAGCCAAATATAGAAAAAATAGAGTATATAAATATCCTAAAATAAGAAGTGTTTCAACTAATAATAAAATGAGGGATTTTTCTGCATGGCTGGCCACACCGTGTGGCCGGGATTACTCGAGTTACTCGATTAGGGGTTACTCGAGTTACTCCTGACCGAGTAACCCCTCGAGTAACGCCTAACCAAGTAACTCCTGACCGAGTAACCCTTGACCGCATAACCCTGATTGAACCCCTCGATTAATACCTGACCGAATAATTCGAGTAACCCATAATCGAGTAACCCCGGCCACACGGTATGGCCAGCCACATATAAAAATTTGTAAATAAGACAAGATTAGTATTAAAAAAAGCATTTAGAAAGCTGGATAAGTATTTAATCCAAAATGAATTAATGATCGATAAAAAATGTCTTGGTTGAGTGTAGCCCTAGCAAATGGGTCGTTCGGATCGGGTCAATTCGAGTCGGGTCAGCAAATATTCGGGTCGAGTCGGATCAATTCGGGTTTTGGGTCAATTTCGGGTCAGCACTTCGGGATAAGTTTGGGTCGGGTCAAATTCGAGTCGGGTCATTTCGGGTGGATTTTTAAGACCAATTTTCAGGTCAATTTCGGGTCAGGTCAATTTTGAGTCAAGTCAATGCGGGTCGGGTGACCTAAATAAATTCACTTATAAAAAATAGTTGGAAAAATAAAGTAAAATCATTAAGAAAATAAAAAATCGTGAGTACCTATTACTAGGAAAGAAAGAAATCCTAAAATAAGTAATTCACCATTTCACCCTATTCACTTCAGGAGTCGGATCACTTCGGATCGGGTCAATTCGGGTCAGGTCAAATTAATTCGGGTTTAAATCGGATCGGGTCACTTCGAATTTCAGGTCACTTCGAGTCGGGTCAAGTTCGGATTTCGGGTTAATTTCGGGTTGGGTCATTCGTGTCGGGTCATTTCGAGCATCGAGTCATGTTCGGGTCATCTCCATTTCGGGTCGGGTTCAGGTCGAATTAGTTATGATTCGGGTAATTTTCAGGTCAACTTTCGAGTCATGGGTTGGGTCATTCGAGTTGGGTCAGGATTACTGGGTCTAGTTGAGTGTAGCGACAAGCACACTTGATGTTTCTAGAAAACCCGTAAAAGTACAATCTAATCTTACATTTCATTTCATATCTTGGATCTGACTACCATAGTATTACGATACGTGTAAACAAATTCAACCACAATAACCTTTGTACAGAGTACCTTATAATATTGGTATTATAAAATTATGCAGCATACGAAAACTAAACTTTAATAAGAAAAGAGGAATCCTTTATCTAAGCATAAATTTTCAAATTAAAGATTTCTATAGTTACGATTAATTCGGCTTTTCTTACTGCATTAAAATGGTTTCCAAACAGTGTAAAATTTTGAGCTTACCATGAAGAAGAAACCAAATTGATTCTAAGTCACGCTAAGCTATTGGCCCTCAAAAGAAATCAAGCTAAACAATAAGCCATTAGCCCACATTCTCGAGGTTTCACGTAGAACCTGTATGAAAGTGGGCAGAAATATCACATCAAATCCTGCAAACAAAAGTCTTGATCTTTAGATTGTAATCCATATTCCAGTTTGATATTAGAGGGAATACAACAGTTAACATTAATCACCTTGCTTCCAAGTCTTAAAGTGTTCCATTCAACTATAGTATAAACCAAACGTTCACTCTGACAATCGAAATCATCAAGTTGCTATGGAGCACGTCATGATTTTCAGACAAAAATGAAAGAGAAGCTAGATGTAAACACCACATATAACTATTCTATCTGCTAGAAACTCTCAATCATCTTCTCTTTCAGGAGGAAGGCCACAAGGCAACAGCATTTTCTGCAACAAAACGTACAAAATTTTCGTGAGAGAGAGGATATAGCAATATGGAAAGCAATAGAAGCAATTAAAAGAATATCTGGTGTGTTGGTCCCATTAACAACTTTTTCACAAATAGACCATCAGCAGAACGCAATGACATTACAATCTAGGGAAACTCAAGTTAAATTGTTTGGTACTTTTTGAGAAGGTCTACACCTTATGAAGGATGTAGCGGAGCGATAAAAAAAAAAACACATGGCCAAGACCTTGGTGGCTTGGTGTAAAGCCCCATCAAATTTTCTTCACAAATAGACTATCAACAGACTGCAATGACATCAGTTTTTTTTTAGTGCAAACAAGGGGAAAGGCCACAACAAAAAGAAACTAAATAAAAAGTAGGACAATCTCAAGTCAAATTTGTGGTTACTTTATAAGAAGTAGAGATAAAACTTGCATAATTAACAAAAGTGACCAAAAATAGAGGACTGCACACACAAACCTGCATAAAGTTGTAGCGCTCTCTTCCAATAGATTCATTTTCTGCGACAGCAAAGTAGGCAAGCATAGGATAATGCCCAACATAGGAAGCATAGCTATCACGTTGGATGTTAACAGCCCATTCACTGTTCAGTTCAACAGGAAAAGAGATTAGAAACAAGTAACCAACAGGCATCATGCTACAAAGGTTTCAAGGATCCAAAGATCAAGCAGAAGTAAAGCTTACAATCTGTTCAGATCTGCATGTCCAGTCCCAACATATTTTGCTTGAAGATGCTCAAGTTGGGAATTGATGTTAAATCTATCACTGGCCTACAAGATAAAATCATCAACACTTTGAACCGAATAAAGCCGAGTAGAAATTCAACTTTGAAGATATTATACACCTAAAACTCATCAATATATGTATGTTTGGAGCATCACCCATCAACAAAGAGTTTGAGAATTAATTTCTTTTTCTACCTTCTTGCCATCACTTCAAAAAAAAAAAAAAAAAAAAAAAAATTGAAAAAATAGGCCAGTCACTAATCCATGCAGAAATGAATCTATTCTGGTAAACTGCAGTTGAGTTCATCAGAATATATAAAGACAGTATGCATTAGTATCCCGTAAATTCTCATTATGGGCTAAGTTTCCTCACACAACAATTCTCATTGAGAAAGCAAGGGATGGAGGATCACAGAGGAGGAAAAATTTCCAACTTAAATGAGCAGCCTTCCACTTGAACAAATCTATATTTATACATTAAAAAGCGTTCCTAAAACAGAATATGCGTCACGTGTCACCCTTTTAAACTCTATAAACGTGCCAAGTCATCAATATATGCCACGTGTTACCTTTTTAAGCACTATAAACATGCCACGTCACCTCCACAACAAGATTTATATTTGACATCTAAAAATACTTATAGCAAGACTTGAACTCGATACCAACAAGTTATACAATACAAGTCTTACAACCTTAGCTATCCATAAATTATGTGAATTTATTCAACCAAATTATAGTCCTTTATTGTACTAATTGTTACATATCATAGGAAAATTTAACAACTTTAATTTTGAAGTTTGAAAAATAAGAATTTTTTGTTAAATAGTTAATAGTTGAATATCTTTGAATCATACAAAGTAACATATAACATACCAAAAATTGAATATGGTTCTCCTAATACAAATCTTTTTTCAAAATATTAAAATTTCAAGATGATTATCAATAAATTAAGAAAAAAACAACCAAATGTTATTATTAAATGAAACATGTACAAACTAGCAACTCGGGGCATCGCGTGAGCCACACACTAGTTAAGTAGCTTAAAAATGACGCAAACCAGATAGCCAACTGGCTTCATAAGTTCTTGCTAAAACTTCACATCAGCACACAAATGCTGAGCTTTGTGCAGTGTCAATAAAATTAATGCTCAAAATTTGTAAATTCCTATCTTATTGCAGTACTAAATACTCAAATTCCAAACAGGGTCCCAAGTTCCTGTAGATGCATACACGAACCACACATATCCGACAATATTATGGTGTAATGGCTACGAGTGATGTAATCTTCAACCTTTCATTACCAAAATCATTAGATCCATGAATCTTAAATGCCCTCCATGCTGTCCATGGTGCTCCCAAAGCAGTATCATCAAGCTCAAAGGAAATTATCTTCATAAGCTATCACCAGATTAAGTACATTACCATGGTGCTCCAACCTAGGACAACACCATATTCTAGGGCGAAAAATCTAAAAGATTCAATCCCAATCCCAAACCTTGGAGGAGAACAAGCCATGAGAACAGCAACATAAGTCGCCTATCCTTTCAAAAAACATAGTCATCTGCTCCTCAACATTCATATCTAATGAGAAACTAAGACTTTCATGATGCATAACTACATTCCTTCTTGGTATCTACTTGGTAGAACACTTCTATTGCACTAGCCAAACAATCCAACTTAATTTGAGATCAGTGTAGTGTAGTCCCAATGATAATAGACAACACAATTTCATTGTTAATAAGAAACCCTTTACCCTTGCAATTGCTTCTTCCCTAGACACAAAGTTCTTCCTATACCTACATTAGCACAAAAGGAGAGGACGCCAATGTGTATAAAAAAGCTAGAGGCGTGCTAAAGCAAGAGGGGTTCTGCTGCGCCTAAGACGCGCCAGACGGTGTACTATATGAACAATTAAAAAAAATTGGATGAAGTTTGCTTCATTGCGCCTTGTGCGCTTTTGGTGCGCCTAACCACAAAAGCCTCACCCAGACTAAGTTAAGCGCTTACCCCCTAGCGCCTTGCGCTTCATAGCCTTCAAACACCCGTGCTCTTACAGGCCTAAATCCGTTAATTGAACTATTCAAAGAGAAAACATCAGGATTTGGCATAGGTTCAAATAGCAATATAGAAAACCATGTCCGTTACAAGCAATAAGATGGACCATTTCCTTACGAATTGAGAAAGACATAAAGATGTTAACAAATGAGGTTCGCAAAGTGGGCCTCGAACCCAACACAATGTTTAATAACATACGAGTGAAGGTATTTTCTCAAACAGGCAGCCCTGGATGATGTGTAAGAGATGCAAGAATAGCAAGTGAAGGTGTTTGGCAGGCTTGATGAGCAAGCAAGAATAGTAGCACATGGTCAGACCAATATTGAGATAGCTATTTATCAAAGCATTGAAGTTAAAGTGCACTAATCCATTTGAGTTCAAAAGTGAAGGCAGTGAAGCAGTAATTGTGGTGAAAGTAGTAACAAGGTACTCATTAGGCCATTAGTGACACAGCTAGAACTTGATTAATCTAGTCGATGCTTAGCAAACTAACAACAACAAAGCCTTAGTCCGAAAATGACAAAATAACAGAGAAGTTAATATAACATACTCCAAGGCGTATGGCAATACTACCACTTCCCTAAAACTAAACCATTTATCAATCACTGATCCACCCTCCAAATATGATACCACAAAGAAAGCACACATAACGTGGCATAGTCCAACACAACTAACACATGTTTCATTCGATATAATTAAGATGGAAGGTAGCCTATCAATTATAAACTATCCCCTCTTCGGCGTTATATTCAAACACCGAGTCACCTTCGCCACGAGTACTAATTTAACTCAAGAGTTATCTCAACATCGTCCTCTAACCTCTGAAACTCATCATCGTTGTTTTATACTAACTCATTACCCGCCAAACGGTTTAACTATACACTATCCTTACTAGTTACAGTATACATTAATACCTACTCGCCTACCAAACAAAGCTCACAAAATTCCATAGATAAAAAATACATTAAACATAGTACCAAAAAAAAAAAAAAAAAAAAAAAAGTAATGGAACACAAATTCGTGCATCATTATGATTCAACAAAGAGCATAAACCACCAAAAAGCATTTTACAACAAAAAAAGGGGGTAATTACTCAGAATTAGGGTTTTGTAACATGATAGTTCCCGTCGATTATGTGATAAATTAGATCAATTAATCTTGACAATCAAACGCAGAAAAAAGATAATTTCGAAACTCAATCGACTAAGATAATCAACAGGTTTGATGAAGGAAATTAGAGAGTGAATACATACCTGCATCTTGAGGAATTTCCCAGAAAAGTGTCCTTCAATGAATCACTGTGTTTTCAAAACCGAGTCCTTTTTATGTACGGAATACGTATTCCCCAGCTTCTAAAAACTTGTTAGAGGTGACTACAATTGGGTTGGGCCACAGCCCGTATTGGAGTACAGGGCAGACTTGTGGGCCGAGCTTTAAAGTGACCCTTGAAAGTTTGCTGAATTAGTCAGCCCAAATATATTGCGAATTTTATTATTATTATTATTATTTTTTTTTTCTTTTATCAACTTAGAACTTAGGTGAGAATTGGATTGAGAATTCAATAAAATATTGACAATCCTTTGATTGGGGTTGTGATGGAATTCATTGGGAATAATATCAAAGTTATAATAATGCCCTTACTAATTTTTTATGCTCAATTTTCATTTCTTTTACTACCTCTGTTTTATATTTTTTGCAACTTTGGGGTATTATTTGTGAGATATAAAATATTCCAAAGTTGCAAAAAATATGAAACGGAGGTAGTATTTGCTTCCCTCCACCCCCATAAAAACATGGGGATAAACCTATTTATATTCCCAATCCCAATCTCACGAATAAGTATTAGCGCATAGCACCTATGTGCTTAGAAAGTGTATAGGATTACACTTGTTTTTCTAGTGGTACAGTTTAAAGTACAAAACGTACATACCACTTTGATTAAATGTACCAATGTGATTTCAGTGGTACATTTTTGGAGTATTAAATGTACCACTAGCACAATTAAGTGGAATATTCAAGTTTTTTAATGCCTGATAAATTACACTTCTGCCCTCCTATACACTTCGTTTGTCAATAGGTGCTATGCGCTGATATGCACTCCAATCTCACAAAACAAACAACGTTATATAAACTCCCACCTCCTCATTTCCCATTCCCAAACCCCAATTCCTACCCACCAAACGCCCCTTAATTATCATGGAATTTGGTGCATGCCTAAAATATCTTTTAAATTTGCATGTAGTTTTAGGAGAACAAGTGAATAGTACGTGTGATATTTTAAGTGAAATGTAGGACTTTACGTCTAAAATTTACCAAAATAGAAAAACAACATGGAATCAAAGCTAATATTTTTTTTTTTTTGTACGGAAAAACTTATTATTATTTTATTCTTCGGTGTGGAGTGATAGAGGACCCAATGACATATATAATACATATTATTTTTTTTATGGAGTAGTATAATATTTTCTCTACTTATTTATTTATTTATTTATTTGCAACCCTTTTCATTTACGTATGTCAATGCATTATTTTAATTGCATTTTTTTTTATTTTTTTTTTCTGATTATCCGTAAGTAAAAATTGAGGAAATTCAAGTTTTATCAGATGTAAACTTGTTTCGTTTATCCAGGGGTAACAGTGACATTTTGTTAGCTAAATCAGGGGGCACACTTGGAAATAGAAAGAAAAAGCTTGTAACGTGTGTTAACGCCCGTCAACTTGAATTAACTCTGAGTCAGAAGAGTACATGTTAACCCTGGTTAAATAATGGGACTTGTTATTCGTCGCCCGCAAATCTCTACATAAAGCCCACATTTTATAATTTTTTGACAAATTTGCCCTTTTTATAATTTTAACCGAAGATAAATTTTTCGCACTAAAAAAATGTGGAGCAGCACCGGATCGCCGAGGATCACCGGAGAATCGCCGTCGTCATCGGAAAACGAGGTTCGTAACGCATCGTAAGGACGAAATTGTGGCTGGCGCCTAGCCAAAAGGCCATGCCGTGGTTGTGGCGCCTAGCCAGGACGCCGCCACCGTGGTAACGGCGCCTGGTGGAGAAGCCTCGACCATGGTAGTGGCGCGTGGCCAGGACGCCGGAGCCACGGCCAGGGCGCCTGGCCAGGACGCCGCCACCATGGCGGCGGCGTCCTGACCAGGCGCCCCGGCCGTGGCTCCGGCGTCCTGACCAGGCGCCCTGGCCGTGGCTCCGGCGTCCTGGCCAGGCGCCACTAGGGGAATATATATATATTTTTTATTTTTTTTTTATTTTTTAATTTAATCCCCCTTTTTTTTTTTTTTTGTTTTTTTTGGTTTTGTTTTTGTTTTATTTTTTATTTGTTTGTTTGTTTTTATTTTTGTTTGTTTTTCTTTTTTTTTTTTTTTTTTTTTTTTAATTTGTTTGTTTATTTATGTTTGATAAATTTGAAATGAAATGTGTGTTATTATTTTGTTTTTTAAATGTATTATGCGTTAAATATAAAAATGATATTTAGAAATTTAAAATTTAGAAATTGCGTTTGTGATAATTTTGTGTTAAGTGTATTAATTTAATCTTAATGTAATTATATTTATACGTTATATGTTATTGTTACAGGATTATGGTGGAGACGGAAATGATTACAGTGGGATTTTTGTACATGATGGCCTGTTCGAAGATGCTCAACAAGCGATTGATTGGGCAAAACAGGTTGCAATTAGATCAGGCTTTTGTTTAGTAGTAGCAACTCATAAATCTCAACGGGATGGTAGAATGGATCGCATTTTGAGATGCGACCGTTATCGCAAAAGAGAAGAACGAGATTTCAGTAAAGCGATTCGGTTTGACTCAAAGCGGAAAGGTTGTGGGTGTCAGTTCCGAGTTAAGGTTCGACAACATCAAAGGCGTGACGGTTGGGAAGTGAAAGGTTACGGCAAATGGGGATATCACAACCATGAGCTGATAGCATACAAAGTGGGGCATCGGCAGTTAAGCGGCCTAAGTCCAGCTGCGAAACTAGTTGTAAAAGAAATGAGTGATGCTCAAGTGAAGCCCGCTAAAATATTAGCGTCTGTGTTAGAGAAATTCCCCGAAGACCAGCCAAACCGAAGACACATCTACAACGTCAGACAGAAATTGAGGTTTGAACGGTCAGAGGGAAGGAACCCTATACAGCAGCTTCTGCACCAGGCACAAGCACGTGGTTACCTTTACTGGTTTGAATCTGACGAAGACACATCGGAGGTAACTCATTTGTTCCTTGTCCATCCTGATTGTGCTGATATGATTTCGTCTTGGCCATCTGTGATTTTGATCGATTCAACGTACAAGACAAACAAGTACAAGTTCCCACTGGTTGAGATGGTTGGGATGGCTCCAACGAACCAGAACTTTCTGATTGGTTATGCAGTCATGAAGGATGAGACGGCTGCGAGTTACCGTTGGGTGTTGGAAAAGTTGAGAAACTACATCGGCCCAAATGTACAGCCATCGGCCATCGTAAGTGATTGTGAGGGAGGTCTTTTTGCCCCTATAGCGGAGCTGTTTCCGGAGTCGAGCCATTTACTGTGCACATGGCACATCAACAACTGCGTGAAAGTCAAAGCCTACAATCTTTTCAACAAGAATTTAGTAACAGCAGAGACATTGGTAAATGGTAAGTGGCGGAAGATCATGCAAGCTACCACAGAGGCAGAGTACGATCGAGCCTTGGAAAACTTCAAGGATGCGTACAAGTGGTGCCCGCCAATCGTAGACTATGTGATGCACCAGTGGGTACCTCAGAGGGAAAAGTTTGTCAAATATTGGACGAACCAAGTTCTTCATTTTGGGAACACTACGACATGCAGAGTCGAGAGCGCTCATAGAGCTTTGAAGGACTGGATTGATTCTTCCACGGCTGCTCTGGATACACTGTTCGAGAGAATAAACAAGGCTATTGATACTCAGAGGAACGACATCAAGAACTATCTCGAGGACTCCAGACGACGACATGGCATGTTGTATGGCCATTTCATATTTAAGATTCTCCACGGTCGTGTGTCACACCACTGTTTGGGGTTGATTCTGAGCGAGTATACCAGGATGAGGGAGTTGGGCGATGAAGTGGCTATTCGGTGCGGATGTGCTATATCAGTGACTCATGGATTACCTTGTGCATGCACCATTCACCGCGTAATTACGCAAGACAGGGCGTTGTTACATGTCAATCAGGTTCATCCATTCTGGCGGACGCTCGTTATCGGAGAGCATGCTGTTCCGCATACGGTTCACCGTGAACAGGAGGAGTTGGAGCAGTTTCAGTTGATGTTTGACCAAGTGTCCTCCAGTCACCCTTCGATCATTCGTAGTGCTACACACATACTTCATGACATGTTCAATACATCGTGTTTGGATACCGAGGAACCGGAAGGGGTCGAGCGACCTAGGGGTCGACAACCACGGCGGAACAAGAGTGCGTTTTAAAAATGAAGAACTTGGTTCGCGTGCAACAGTGGAACAATTTAATTGCCATGTAGTTTTTGTTGATGTACACCTACCTTTTACTATGAGGCCTTGTATTGTCAATACTATGTCATTTCTATGTGTTCATTTTTAAAAGATAATATTGAATTTTAAAAACTAAGAACAATAATTTCAAATATTACAAACTAAAAAGATAATGTCTAATTTCAAATATCAGTAATCCCTCTGTGACGCCCACTGCCACTGCTCAAGGGTCCGTTCCAGATCGTCAATAACAGCTCTGCCTGATGCACTCGTCATGCAGTCCCTTTCCTCAAAAAGTCGGTGTCCCAACTGCATAATCTTGCCCATCCACTACACAAAACAAAAAACATGAAACGACGTATTATACATATATATATTAAAATAAGAGAACAACAAATAAAAGATGAGACGTACCGCATAAGAGGCAGTGGCAGGTGGCACATCGTCATCATCTGCGTCGTCGATGTCTTTGATCAACCTCGGGTGCGAGTGCCGGATGTACCATTCCATGTAGTGCTGGTCACACATGGCAGTCACCCCACATAAAAAATAAAAATATAAACAACACAATATAAATAAAAACATAAAAAATATAAATATAAACATAAAAAAATATAAATATGAACAAAACAATGTACCAAAAACAAAATATATAACCAAAAACAAAAAATATAAACAACAAACTAAAAAATGAAAAACATAAACAAAAACAAAAAATCAAAAATGCAAAGAAAAAACCAAAAACAAAAAACTAACAAAACTTAAAAAATTTAAAATTGCAAAAACTTAAAAAAAGAAGAACATCAAAATTTTAAAGAAAATTTATAAAAAAAAAAGGGAACTTATAATTTTTTTACATACAAAAATATAATTCAAAAAAAAAAAAAAAAATACATAGGAACATAAAATTAAAAATTAAAACCAGAAACAATTTTTTTTTAAAAAAAAAAAATAGAACATAAAATTAAAACAAATAAAAAAACAAAATTTTAAAAAAAAAAGATAAAAAAAAAAGGGAACATACAATTTAAAAAAAAGAAAAACAAATTTTTAAAAAAAAAAAAAAAAAAAAATTCGAAAAAAAAATTTAAAATTAAAAAAAAACAAAAAAAATTTTTTTAAAAAAAAAAAGAGAAGGAGGCGCCTAGGCAAGACGCCCGTACGGTGGTGGCGGCGCCTAGCCCAGACGCCACTACCACGGCCGTGGCGCCTAGCCTATGCGCCGCCGCCGTGGTAGTGGCGTCTGGGCTAGGCGCCGCCACCACCGTATGGGCGTCTTGCCTAGGCGTTTCCTCCGTGGTGGTGGCGTCTCGCCTTGGCGCCCCACCGTCGCCGGAGGTTTTTTTTTTAAAAAAAAAATTACAAAAATTTAAAAAATTAACTTCTGGCCGGCAAACCGCCTTCCGCCCACCGCCGGTGCCGCCACTTCCTTGCCGGGCCGCCTCGACATAGCTCTGGAAATAATTTAGAGAGAGAAAGTGGAAGTAGAGAGTAGAGAGAGAAATTGTGTTTTTTAGTTTGAGGGCAAAAGTGTCATTTCACTCTTATTTTGTGGGCTTTATGTAGGAATTTGCGGGCGATGTTTAACAGTTCACTAAATAATTGAATACAATTGAATTTTTGCCATCGTCGTTGTGGACGAGATTGCCGTACATTACCACTTCCCGTCCGCGTTCTGGTTTTCCGGGAGTTACTGTTGTCGGCCTACCGCTTCCCGTCCGGGTTCCGGTTTTCCGGGAATTACAATTGTCGGCCTTTTTGAACAGTTGGGCTAATTCAGCCTGTATGGACGCTGGAAAAAAATCGATGAACCACGCTACTGAACATGTATAAAATCATCGAATTAAGTAGTCGTTAAATCTATTTATGCTGATTTTGAATTGTAAGTGTTTAATTTGGAAATCAGGATTTGTGATATATTGTACAGCCGTTTAATTTGAAAATCTTGATTTATGTTATTGTTGCCGGATTTCTACTTCAAAGTTATATTTGCATGATTTCTAGGTCAAGTAAAGCTGATGATTACGACGCTGTTGTTGAATAATCTTTCATTTCTATTCGAATTTGGCTGTGTAGTTGTATTGATTAACATAGCTTGGTGTGGAGAATTGTTGTTAACTTGATTAATTGCGAAACTGATTCATGGGTGTGCATTGGTTCTTCAGTCGTTTCTTTCCCTAGTGGTGTGTATATGTTTTAATTTATATGATTAGTCTATGATTCCAAATTATCTGAATCAAGATGCCATGATTGTTTTAAAGAACACGGTGTGTTGCTTTGTAGGGGGAAGATGTTAAGGTAATAGGGGCAGAATTGAGATACAAAAAATTCCAACTTTTTCCAGGATTGTTCCATGTATTGTTACTATAGATACAGATCAAAGCGCGCGTATCATTTTTGTTATTGGTTTATGATGTTTTTCATTGATTGTTGAAGATGGTAATGTCATCCTTGTTTTTTTTAGGATAATGCACTCTCTGTTGGTGGGAAGGTGAAAGGAAATCGGGCTGTACTTGCAGAACGTAGTAGTCGGGTAATGTATGCTTGGTAGTTTGTATTGGATAATTAATGTTTTGTTTAGTCGCTAAGCTATGTTAATTCTGATTTTTCAGCCTCCTAACTTGACATGTCGTATTGAGACATTTGGGAGGATATGTCAGAATTTTGATGGAAGACGATGTATTTGGGTAAGAGAAATGGGTTTTGGTGGGTTGTTGAGCATCCCGGATGACTTGCAACTTCCTAGGCAGATTGGTTACAGGCTAATGTCGCGCATAGATCCTAATTCTAGAAAATTTATCGGTTGCGATGAAAAGGAGTTCAGGTTTTCAAAAAATCAGTTGCATTGGATCCTCGGTATACCCAATGGTGGCTTTCCTGTTCCTAGTTACAAATCTCTGGATTATGAGAAGAGGGAAAAAGTTAATGAAATACTTGGCAAGTATGGTAAGTCGATGCAGAGCAAATCTAGCAGGAAATGTGGTCGTCTGTATTACTCTACAGGTATTCCTATAAATTCAAAGATAATAAATTTGTTCGAGGGTGTTTGGGAGGAGGATAAGGAAGAAGAATATAAGACTCTTTTTCTTTTAGTAGCCCTTGATTTGGTTTTGTGCCCTACATAGTCACCTCGACTAGCAGTTGATCTGATTCCTGCTTTAACATGTGCCTAGAACTGTGCAAGCTATGACTGGTGTGGTCTTGTGCTAGATAACCTGATGGATTCGGTTTCCAGTTTTGCATGCCGATTTTATGCTTCTGGTTATGCCAGATGTGGTGGATGTTGTATTTTTGTTGTGGTACTTATCCTGGCTTAATTGCTTTTGTGTTGAAGTTTATTTTTTATTCTAATATTCTCTTAACTCATTATCACCATATTTTTGTGTCCAGTTATTCTATTTGGAAAGGCTAAACAGAGACCTTGTTGATTGGGGTGTGTTTCCTCATATTAAGGCTTGGAATATGAAGTTAATCCGCAATGCTTGTAGAGCTGATCGAATTGCAGAGACTGGAGACTTTGGGAAATTGGGGGTAAGTCTAACAATTTTCCTAGTATTTGTGTTGAAAATTTAATGGTTGTAAAGGTAGGTAACAATTTTTTTTTTCCTCATTTGAGATTGCAGATGTTAGATGTTGCGTATGGTGAGCATCACCCAAGGTGTGCCAAAGACATTGAAGCACCAACTCAGACCGAACATGTAATCATTTAATGAACATTTGTGTCCTTATTTCTGTTTTGCTGTAGCACAACTCATCACATGATTTTACCTATAAGGGTGATTGTCTAGCACCCTTGAGGTCACGGAAGAGGAGGCGGGCAACGACCGATAAAATTCCTTTCATTCGAAAGCGGGAGAAGGTAAAATTTATGGTATGTGCAGACCGCACTCGCTAGGCCCAAGACATCCCTCACGAAGTGACCCGATGCAATGGGAATCCGCCAAGTGGCAACCCGACTTAGGCACTAAGGCAGCCATGTTGGCGCTCGGTCCCTCGGCTGGGCCTGCTTAGTTGGCCCTTTCCGCACTAGCCTGCAACAGCAAGCCACGCATATGCGGGCTGCTTGTTGCTAGGCGCTGTTGCTATGCTGCGCACCAAGCTCGGTGCTAGCAGCAACAACAGCTTGTTGGTGTATGAGTGCCTGATCGTGCTAGGTTGCGGCTGGCCTTGCTAGCACTGCTAGCACGCGAGCTCGGCTAACAAGCCCCAGCTAGCACCCGCATGGGGCTGATGGGCTTGCGGCCTTGCTAGCGGCTATGGCTAGTAGCCCTACATAGCCTAGCCTTCGCTTGGCTAGGCCAATGCGGGGCTATGACTATATATTGACTTGATGTTTGGTTGATTATTTCCGTCTCGTCGATTCCTAAATGCGACTCGACTTCCGATGCTTGGCTTCAATGCTCTAAGCTTTAAATCCGACGTATTAGTTCGTGAAATCTCTATTGACTCATTTAATCCTTCGAATTAATTCTTCGCTTGGGTTCGGTTACATGATTGGGTGTGACCTGAAGGGTTCAGTCAAGAGCAAGCTGTAATATTAATTATACATTAATATTACTGATCGGAAGCGTCCTCTAGCTAGGCATTTGATCACTTGACCTCACTGAATAATTAGCTATCCTCATTAATTTCGAACCCTCTATCGGAATAATACACTTGTTCGACGGACACCATTCCTTTCAATCTCTCACTTGTCCTTCCGGATAAATGCGTTGTTTGTGTATAGCCTGTTTCCTATGTCACTTAATGTCTCTTCATGAAAAATAAGGTAAGATTCTTTGTCATCCTTATTACGTCCAGAAGTGTTTCTCGATTTCCAAGTTCAAATATCAATAAGCAAATGATTTCTAAAATCCATCTGAGCACGACCATGCATTTTCACAGTCTCGCTCTTCGAGAGGCCTTGTAAACAACAAAGACATATTCCCTATTTATCAATAGGGGGACATTCCCAGTCTTGCATTTTTAGCTTCCCTTACTAAGAGGCCCTAGCCACCTGATTGTTGCCTTTATAATCCCCTTGTACGGCAGACATTTGACAACATCAAAACGGACATGTAATCAAACAAGAGAACTTACAATACTCATGGTTGAGGAAAAAGGTTCCGATAGCCATAATGAGTAATATACTTATGAGGATTGTTAAATCTCTTAAAGTATTCTCATAGGCCGATCCGATATAGTTTCAAACTAATACATGTGCAAATGATTTATGACATATTTGTCCTTGTAGCATAAGAAACGGTGCTATAAATCAAACTACACACTAATCTCGCGTGGTCATTAGTCGTCCAACTTTCAAATGACCTTGACTAGGGATAATTTTTGTTCTGGGTGTAGTTCTGAAGCCTAGCTGGTGACTGGTCTTGGGTGCTGGCTGGGATTAACTGCATAAAGAACAGTGGTTATGCCCTCAGGGGTGGTTTCGAGGAACCCCCCTTACATGCTTAAGTTAGTAAGGTGTTAGATAATAATGGGTAAGTGATAATAGATGAATATGTGTGTGTAACCTCTTTTTCGTTGTACTTGGGTTACTATTTATAGTTTTTCTATTCTTGGTGTTGCAGGCTAAAGCCTGCTGAGGCCAACCTTGGTGCTGAGCCCCTGGGAGATTATCCTTGACTCTAAGATGGAGCCCTCTAGGGTCAATTGTGAGGCTGAGCCCCTTGGAAGGTTTTTCCCTGCCTTGGAGTGGACTGGCCCGAGTGCGCACCCCTCAAGTAATGCTAGGAGCAAAGGGCAGCTCAGCGGGAGCTACTTTATACAACTAGCCCCTCAAGAGGTGGTCTGAGGTACTCTGGCCAACTCTTGCTGAATGGAGACGTTTTTCTTTCCTGAGGTTAGGAGCATGGGAAGAGCTCTGTCGAAGGTTTCCCATACAACTAGTCCCCCAAGAGGTGGTACGAGGGACCCGTGCCGGCTCTTCCAAGTATTTGACTCCTGCCAGGTAATTACTTGGCTAGATTTACTGACCGAAATCTTCCTCATATAACTAGCCCCCTTGAGTCTCACATTTGCACTCAGCTGATTTGAGGCTTGGAGAGTTCCACTAGTGAAGTGCGTTATGCTAAACTGTCTGGGTGAGGAGCTTTGATTACTCCCGCTAAAGTTATTTCAAGGCGACGAGCTGAGGCTGAGCAAAGAGCTTTGATTACTCCCGCTGAAGTTATTTCAAGGCGACGAGCTGAGGCTGAGCGAGGATCTTTGATTACTCCCACTGAAGTTATTTCAAGGCGACGAGCTAAAGCTGAGTGAGGAGCTTGGACTTTGTCAGACTAATTTTTCTTTTCTTCCCTCCCACCCATTTTTTTTACGACGTGGCTATGTTTAGTGGGTGGTTATCTCCCTTTGTTAGGTAGGTAACTGTCATTTAATGCCCTTATTAAGTTTCCTCTCTCATGTTTTCGTATTCTGCGTTTTCACTAAACCGGTTTTCATCTTAATTTCGAAATCATTGTTCCTCCATCTTTTCTCATTCACTCTCTTGCTTTCTCCAGTTACTCTCTTCTTGCTCTAACTTCTCACTTTCCTCTCCTTTATTACTCTTCTTGTTCTGGGTTTCGCAATTTGTTTGGGTGTCGCTCGCCGCAAGTTTGCCGTGACTAGCCTGTGATTGCTCCACATTCGTTGTTCGTTCCTCACAAGGTACCACCCTTAAACCTTCTTCCACCATTTTTGTACTTTCATTTGTAAAATTGAGTATGCTTTTTTCCAAAGATCGTCCTTTTTGTAGGGTTTCGTAGTGACCCGACACTACGCGGAAGGAAACCCACCAAGACCCGCCCCTTAATTAAAGCAATTAAACAAGCATAATAAACTTAATCAAACAAGATTAAGGACAAGAACTATACCTTTGACGCGTGCTTCGCTCCTAAAGAGCTCTTACTTCAAAATCCCGAAAAGACGAGATCTCCGACGGATCGTACCCTCGACCCGACCCGAGCGTCCTAAGTCTTGAAGGTTAGTCAAGACCCGGACAAAATAACTATGAGTTTTACGAATCAAAGGTTTACTCTTTTCTAGAGTTTCCTTTTTAATTCCACTCAAGGTTGTTTCAAATCCCAATACCAAGCTTGGTATTTATAGGGAAATGATCCCTTGATCTTTCATCCTCCACCAATGTGGGGGAATGTATTTTTGCTAATTAATTTATTTCTAAAATAAATTATTAAACAAAACTAATCACAATGCAACAAGTGTCAAATATAGAGAGATGGTTAGGTGAGGACCATGAATGGATGGGGGGACCATTGCCTTGTTCCTCAAGGCCTTGCCCAAGCTTGGACCCCACCCCTGACCAAAACCGTCACCCTATGGACAGCTGGGCTAGCAGCCTGCCTTGGCTGCCAAGGCTTCCAGCTGGCGCCTAGCACCAAGACTGGGCAGCCAGCCAGCTTGTTGTGCTAGCAAGCAGTGCTGGCACGCACTGGCCTAGCACGCATCAGCCCTAGCACGCTGCGAGCTGCTAGGCGCTGGTGCTGCTAGCCTAGTGCTGCTGCCTAGCACTCCCTCACACACACTCTCGCATATCGTCCCTCGCACAGGGCCTCTCGCACTACCAGCCAACTAGGCCAGCATGCGCACACCCAGCCAGCGCACTACTCACGCAAGACCTATCATGCGTGCTGCTAGCGAGCCACACATGCTGGGCTTGGTGCTCATTGCTAGCATGTTGTGCTTGGTGCTGCCATGCAAAGGCACGCACGCACGCAAGCACACAGCTAGGTGCCTCATTGCGAGGCTGCTGGGCGACGGTACACACGCACACACACACACGCATGTGCCTAGCACTGCGATAGTGCTGTGCGTGATGCTAAGGTGTTGCGAGAGCACCTATGCACACACACGCACACGAGGGTGCTGTGCTTGATGCGATAGGGCTGCGATGGTGCGAGGCATGCATGCACAAGCCCATGCGCCAGGGCCTAGCACTGCGATGGCTGTGCATGGTGCGATGGGCTAGCGATAGCACCCATGAGCACCCAGGCACCCTCGCTAGCACGTTGCTAGCTGCGATGGGATGCCTGGTGATTGTGTGGCTTGCGATAGCTGCCACGCGCACCCAGGCACCCATGCTAGCTTGCGAAGGGCTGCTAGGGCGCGCCTAGGCTGCGATGGTGCCTAGCACACCATGGTACGCCTAGCACACACATGGTGCACCTAGGCTTGCGATGATCTAGCCTAGCCTAGCTACGGCTACGCTTATACTTGTTGCTTATGATTTTGCGACGCTCGGTATCGACGCCCTAGGCTCGATTTCTGACGTCTATATTCGTAAAATTCTGTCGACTCATTAAATCCTTTCGGATTAATTCGACGTCTCGGATTGGAGATTCGATTGGGTTCGACCCGAAGGGTTCAGTTAAGATTAAGCTGTAATATCAATTGTATCTCGATATTATTGATCGGAAGCGGCCTCCACCTAGGCATTCCGATCACTTGACCTTACTGAAGAATTAGCTCTGTAATAATTCTGAACCCTTTATCGGAATAATACACTTGTTGGAAGGACACCATTCCTTTCAATCTCCCACTTGTCCTTCCAGACAAGTGTGCATATTGTGTATAGCTCATTTCCTTTGTCACTTAATGTTTCTTCGTGAACTATAAGGTAAGATTCTTTGTCATCCTTATTACGTTCAGAAGTGTTTCTCGATCTTCGAGTTTGACTGTCAATAAGCAGATGATTTCTAAAATCCATCTGAGCATGGCCATGCATTTTCACAGTCTCACTCTTCGAGCGGCCTTTTAAACAACAAAACATTTTCCCTATTGTTAGTAGGGGGACAATCCCAGTCTTGTATTGTAAGTTCTTCTTACTAAGAGGACATAGACTCCCGAGTGTTCCCGTTATGATCCCCAGTTACGGCAGACGTTTGGAAACATCAAAGAGCCTAGTACTCAAACAAGAAAACTTCACAGTACTCATGGTCGGAGGAAATAAGTTCCGATAATCATAATGAGAAATGTACTTATGAAATTTTTTTAATCTTTCTTAAAGTACTCTCATAGGTCTTATCCAGTAC